GATGGTGATGATGATGATGATGATGATGGGTGGTGATGATCGTGATGATGATGGTGAACTAGTGCAGATGAATGTTTTATTCCAATTTGCGCTTTATGAGTATAATTATTATGAATCATAATTTATCATTTTATCTCACAGAAAGAAGACAAAGTAATGCGTGAAAGTCTAGAACAAACCAAACAAAGACTTGCCGAGTTTGAAGAGAGACAAAGGCAGTGGCGAGAAGAGCAGCAGAGAAAGGAGAACGAGGCAAGTAACCACCAGCGTATCTATAGGTAAATAAAACAGGGAGTTTTTGAAATTTATTTTGAAAAAGAAATCCAAGAAAGAGTACTTGACCAAATAGGCCTTTCCCGAATTCACTTGACTGATCATGAAAAAATGGTTTAAAGTCGAGGTTGAACTTGATGAATAAAAGAATTGAGTTCAGTCTTGACTTCAAACCATTGTTTCGTGGTCATCCGAGTGAATTTGGGAAAGGTCTATTATTATATAGAGTGAATTTAGTCAAAGTGTTGAATAGTTGACATCACTATGGTTAGGGGGGGAAATGATGATACCATCAACTGTCTCTTTAATCATTCTCTGGTAAAGATAAACTCCCAGATTCACATGACCATTACTTTGGCCTGAATTGACAGTGTAGTTCCATAAAACATCCATATCCCACCCACAGTGGAAATTGGAAATTCTGGAGGGGAGGGGGGGGTCAGAGAAAAAACAAAATTACAAAGTTTGTATGGAAGAAAATTCCTGGGCAAGGGGGTTCCTTTTACAAATTCCCTCATTGGTGGGGTATGGATATTTTCTGGAACAACACATTTACTATTTTAGGTGACGTCAGCTAAACAAATAGTTATCTAAGTTAGATACATTTATCTAACTATTCAACAGTGTGACTAAAAGCACTCTAATTCTGTCTTGCGCTCCAAGCTCACAGTTAAGGGTTTAGGGTAAGGGTTAGAAAGTAAATATACAGCAATTAACTCTCTACATGTAGTTAGTATATTGTTTCAGATGGAATACACCAAAAATAGAATAAATAATTATTATTAATCCAACTCTAGACACTGTCACTATGACCAACAATGCACTGCGGTCTTGGAATGCACTATTCAGTATTCAGTATTCAACCTTTTTTGAAATAGCTGTAAATATAAATTTAGTATTATTTGAGTACTCTTTCAAGGATTCTGTTTTTAAATTTATAAATTTTATTGTTATTAATTTGTTAATTATTTTTATTTTATTTGAATGGCGGTTGAAGTAGGAGGAAAAATAAAGCTTGCTAGCACATGTATACTACATACTTCTTTTGATAAAGTTAGAGTTCTCGCACYTAGAGTGCATGCCATATATAGAGTGCAAACAATATAACCGTGAAACTATAGTAATACTAAATAGCACAATTTCATGCAAATTCCATCGTTTTCTATTGTTTAATTAGCACTATTTTGTACTATTTAGTAATTTAATAGTGTTTCACGGATTAATTGTTTGCACTCTATATTTGTGAAACGTGTAATTTTTCGAAGGTGAAGTGCTTGCTCAATATTTTTTGGGGGGATTTACGTACCCCCTCAATTATCTAATGGTCTGTCCCTAATTAGTACAAAATAGTGTTCTGTCTTTAATTATAAAACAACTGTTATAAATCTTGTATTTTGAATGGTTGGAAGCGCATGCTTTATGAGAGCACAAAGCATGCACGCCCCTTTGCATTTTATACGAGAAATAAAAAACTTGCTTGCTGTGCTGTGTAGAGTTATAAAGCACTTGGGGATTGGCAGAACACTCGAGAATTGCGGAGAAGCACTCCGCTATGCATCATGCTACTCCTGACACTTCTCTTGTGTTCTGCCAATCTCCACGTGCTTTATAACAGCACATAGCATGGGCACGTGTTTTCTATTTAACATATTGACATCAGATTTTTATGTGTCTGCCCTCTTATTGACAATAAATTGCGTCATCACATTGTCAAAGTAGTGTGGATTCACGAGGCGTAGTCGAGTGGATCCGCATACTACTTTGACAATGTGATGGCGAAATTTATTGTCAATAAGAGGACAGACACATAAAAATCTGATGTCAATTTGTTTTTTACAATAACAAAAACGATAAAAACTTCTCATTTTTACTGATCAAAACAACTAACGGAAAGAGCGCACGCTCGTTRACGTCAGCTTTATCTGTCTGTCCTCTTATTGATGATAAAAATTAACCAATCAGCGCGCAAGAAATTTGTCAGTTATTGTAAAATTCTTCATTGTTTTCTAATGTTAAAACTGTGTGATAAAGAACAACTTAAAGTTAATTCTTTTACTCGAAAATAAGAAGTATTTTATTCCTTTTATGTTTCCTTGCAGACAAAACTAGGCCTGCGTCACCACCAAGGCCACCATGGTAAATAACAGCAGCTACGACAGCTAAATGTATCATATTATTATCAATATTAATATATAGATTTTATTAGATKATTATCATTATTAGAGTATTAGAGTATGAAAAGAGATTTTTTGTGTGACTGTGGAAAATGCATGGTAGAGACATTATGCGAAGACTGCCATGGTCCTGTGTTAGGCACTAGCGTAGGGAGGGTGTGGCACAAGGGGCACTTCCCCTGTTTTACCCCCGACTCTATACCATAATAGTTTTTAAAATTCTTTCATATTAAAATTTTTGATTCCTTAGAGAATACAGGAACAATAGTCATAATTAAAGAACAAAAGCAGTGTGAAAAGGATGATGGTCTAGAGACGGGGGTAAAACGTCATCTCGCTTCAGGCTTATTGACGGAATAAGGACGTTTGTTTCTTTTTTCTGCTAATTCTGTATTGCCAAAATGTTTTTTAAAATGCTTTTTATTCTGGGTGCTGCCCCCTAATTCCTGGGGCCTTGCCACACCCCTGTAAGGTCATTTTCATTGGCTGCACAATAACTTTACACTATCGCTTGTTCAAAAGAATTTGTCAAATTATAGACCTTTCTTAAATTCAATTGAGTGACTACGAAACGAAGGCCTCAAGGCTGGGCTTGATACCAACTACCAGACTCCCTTGCTTACTTTCTTTTGTTCAGTTAATTAGCACCAATTGTCTTACTATTCTCATGAGGAAATACAAATTTGAAAAAGAAAGAAAATTCGCGAGACATTTTTGTAGTGGGAGTCAAATGACGACATCATGCAAACCACCAATAGACCCTTTGCATTTAAAAGCAAATTTTWAAAATTACTTTAAATTGGTGATTGTTTTTAGCTACTTGTAAAGAATACTGAATGAAACGATGTGTAACCAGTGTGTTACGAAATGCAGTTTTATTACGATCTCTCAAAACAGGTTGTAGAAAGTTTGTTTGCTCACCAGTATGTTTCACCCATGGGAATATTTGCTCTTAGTGAATTAATCAGCACGTGATTACTAAGCTGCAAAGGGCCTACTCCATCCCAGACCATGAATATAGTAGAACTATTTTATCTTAATATGTTTCATAAGAGTAATTTAATAACAGCTGCAATATGTGTTAGCTAGTTCAGATAAGGCATAGAGTGAAGGCATTAACCTGTGAAATAGATATTAGACTAATACACATTAGTGGACCCTAATTCCATTGTTTTCTTTTGTGTCTATTTGACTATTACACGTTGACTAGTATTTTTTATTTCATGGGTTAAATCCCTTTACTCTATGCATAATATGGAATTAAAGTATTTAAAAATTATTTATAAAGCAGGAGAGTATGCATAAGATGTGTATTAATCTTTGGCAGACTGGTTTTTTTTAGCTGCTGGATAAAAAAATATTATGTTCCATTGTTAAAAAATCAATTCTGCAAAGTGCAATAAAGTTGATGATGAAATAATACTCGTTTGATACAATTATTTAAAGTAATTATACAGCTTCTCATTAATCCCATATAGGTAACTGTCCAATTATTTTCTTAATTGGACAGGTCTTGTTGATATGGGATTAATTAGGCAGCTATATAATTAATAGGTTATGGGATTTCATGCTCCCCAATCAAGAAATAATTAGACTCGAAAAATTCCTCTGACTGCCGGTTACCTGACTGCCAAATTAGACTCGGCCTATGGCCTCATCCAATTTTGTCAGTCCTCAGAATTTTCCTCGTCCAATTATTTCTTAATTGGACAGCATGGAGTCCTATTACATATACTTATTAAATGTATTTGATAACACACACACAGATTGGCTAGCTATAYATATCAATAGCTGTTCATATCATAGGACAGAGACATTCTCGTGTAAAATTGTTCAAAAATATCTTATGAAAGCAATATAAAACAGGGGCATGTCTCTTTACTGTGATATAAATACTCTGGGAGCATGTAGAGCATGTAGAGCAATCGAAAAGCAAGATAAACACTCAGCTATGCTTTGTTTCCTAAGCTTGCTTCTCTTGTCTCTACAGCTCCCAGCCTGTTGATAACATAGTACAGAGATGTGCAAGTGTGTCATATTCTTTAAAAATTGATTTTTTTTCGCTGAGGAGAAAGAGGAAACACCAGTGAAAAGGAAAGAAGGATAATGATGTAGTTATTATGGTTGTTTAGAGTARCATGGGTGGCGTATGCTACTAACGCGTCCCTTTTCACCACAGTGGTTCCAAAGGTTCAGGTCACTAGTTCGATTCCTGTGGATACCATATAATGCAAATCCAGTTTGTTTGATGTGTTATTCTCTCCTATGCTACAAAGGTTTTTCTCCGGGTTCTCTAGTTTCTTCCCTCCATGAAAATCAACATGTGAGTTGAGCGTTATGTACATAGAATATTGAATGTAAAGGCATTGTGGATGGGTCAAAAGTGTCCCAATTAGTGCAAGAGCACTAGAAAGTCTAGACACCTAAATAATGAGATTTTTTATTCATAGTATACAAATTGACTTTGTAAAAATTTTTGTGTAAAAAATTTTTTTTCGATGTAATAAAAATAAGAGTATTTCTGTGAGTTAAATAGTTGTATGCATAGAATCTAACAAAAAAAAAAAAAAAAAAAAAAAAAAAAAAAAAGAAGAAGAAAAGAACAGAAAATCTAGACAACTTCAATACCAAAAGTTTGATGAACAAATCTCACACACAAAAAAAGGTAATCTACTGAGATTTAACTTCAATACCCCAAGTTCGATTAACAAATCTTACACACACACACACACAAAATTCACTGAGACTTAACTTCAATACCCCAAGTTCGATTAACAAATCTCACACGAAAATTACAATCTACTGAGAAAAAGGCCACACAGAAAATTAAGAACTAAACACAAACTTTATTCATTAGTAAATACATTTTGTCATAAATTAAAGGTATGCTAAAAATGTTTTTTCACAAATAAAGACATTGTGACAAAGAAAACTTCAGCACRACATGCAAAAGTATGACCAACGATAATAAATTTTATTACACTTTTAGGGTTGATATCAGTGTGATAAAGCTGTGAATAAAAACCACATCAGTGAAGTGATACGATATCGCTTCATGGTGAACTGAAAAGTTTGTCATTTTATCRACCCTAAATGGGTAATACATGAATTATTACATGTTAAGAGCTTGATACCATTTTTATTCACTCCTTTTCCATATGATATCACTTAATTGCTCGCAGACTTACTTGTTCGCAATCCCAGGGAGGGGGACTCTGAGGAAAAAGTACCAGGGATGCTCGTCGTATCTCTTAGGGGTAAAAATTCGCGATTTGGTATCTTTTAGGGTGTTAAATGCGAATTTTTGAAAATCAGCATTTACTGGTATCTATTAGGGTGTCGGAAAAGGAGAGAAGCGCGCATYGATATGGCTTATCCTAGGTGCTTTTTACGCCCTTTTTTAAAGACTTCCGGTATCTTTTAGGGGTCTTTTTGAAAATTTCCCACGGGCATCCCTGGTACTTTTTTCATGGATTCCCCCCGGGTTCGCAATATCATATGGAAACTCGTGAATAAAAATGATATCAAGCTCTTAACATGTGATATTCTCATATATTCCCACACTTTTATTCACAGGCTTGTGAATGTAAAACTGACACAATACGAAGCTGGCTGGTTTTATCAAATAAGGGGTATATTATAGAGGTTATGTACATCACGTGATGGCAGCCATGTTAGATGGCAGGAACAATACAATTGTTTTACATGAGAGAGAATTCAATTCATGGAATCAACGGGATTTTATTGTTCTGCCATCTAACTACAGGCACTCCAAGCTATATATACCTCTATATTAAACTCCCTTGTCAGCAAAAAGCCTGCACGTATAAAAATACATTAAATATGGTCATACTCTTGAACACCGTGCTGTAAATGTTGACTGTCGTTAAATTGCACAGTTTTCAGTGGAATTGCTAACAAGTAGCATTAGAAAACTGCAATCAAATTATTGATCTCCGTATCATATACCATAACTCGCAAGGTGTGATATTATATCTAAGGCATTCACTTCATGGACATAACTCAACTTTGCACACGAATAGTTTAAAAATAATTATAACATTGATGGCACAATTTATCTATTTACAGTGGCTGAAGTAAGATATTCCAACAACAACAATTTATTGTCATATCGTGAGTGTTACAGCTGTTTGCGTTACTACACGGCCACCCCTGACACAAATTGAGTCATGTAGTTTGTAATAGACTGCCATCAATCATTCATGTTGATGCCATTTATACACGTTTGGATCAGTGAGTTGGCTTTTCTATCAAGCTTTCTTAGTCAGATATCACGAAGGAAAGTTCAGAAAGCGATTGCAAAGAGTTTGAGTACATCCAAGTAGAATGAGGTGTTTGATTGACGGCAGTCTATTGCAAACTACACGACGCGATTTGTGTCTGGGGTGGCCGCGTAGTAATGCAAACGGTGGTAAAGAAGAGTTGCAACGAATCGGTAAGTTTTTCTTACATTAATGCTGATGATGCAAGAAAAGAACAGACTATAAGGACGTCTATWTCTATAGACCTCATACTGTGTCATTCCCTTGAGTATTATTCCTTTTGTAACTTAGTTGAAAAATAAACCTATTCTTATTGGAATTATGAGCCATGAAGTTTGAAAAGCCAAAATAAGTTACTGATTACTCCACGATTGTACCCTATTTGGTAAATAATAAGAYGTAATCCCACGGATTTAAAAAAATTTTAATTAGTTTATCAAAACTATCATCAAATGAGGATTTATTGGTAAATAAGTGTGTGATTTTTACCTTCACTCACAACATGCGGTTTATACACTAGGGTCAAGTTATTGTCTAACAATATCATTGTCATGTTGTCGGCAAAGTTTTTAAATAATCATTAACCATTATTACTGGCATTATTTATCATAGGATGTCAGCGGCATTCAAAACAGCCATGTCCTTGGCAATTAAACTGGAATTCGTGTCCTACCTACTAAATGATGTGTTACATGAGACGATTCTCAACGACTATATTTTTTTGTGCAACAATGTTGCACAAAATTCGTTCTCATGTAACATAGCACGTGGTTACGATTTTGTGCAGCAACATGTTGCAGGTTTTTGAATGGCCTTCAAAACTCCCAACATTGTTAACACTGATTTGTGTTGCTGTGCGCGCCATGTTACAAGAGGACAACTTTTAACGCAACAATGTTGGGGTAAAAATAGTCTCATGTAACATCACCTAAATGCAAGCTAGAGCTATCATACCTCCAATGGAATTTTCATTCATGTATCTAAAACACAATCTTATTCTATCTGACCTTAAATTCTTGGACCACTTCACTTGCCTTCCTGCCTGGAAAAGAGGAGGCGCCTTCCTGGAAATGGTGACCCAGGGTTTTCTGGCCCATCAACTGGTACCAATGCTTTATTTACAGTTAATCAAGGATAGTAAAAGCCAGTGACAGCTCCCTGAAAAGACTTCCCATTTTACCAGAAACAGCTGTTTTGCTTGATATTACACTTCGAATAGCCATCAGGTGTGAATGGCATGTTTGACACTTTTGGTATCTAGGAGAGAACAGAAACATTTTCAGTAGATTGTTACACAATTATTAGTTATGTAACTAAAAAAGAAATTACATAAGAAATATCGGCTTTAAAGCCTTGGACCTACAGCTGTAATAGACAACTTTTAAGCAATATATACAGTATGAGTGGCCGTGTTGTATCAGATATACAAACACGACGCGTAGCCGAGTGATTGTATATCTGATACAACACAGACACGAATACTGTATATGACTTATCAAACGTCTAGGTTAGTTCCTTTGTGTTTCACTAAAATTTTCAAAATTAACGTGAATTTGGCCAAGAAAATCCAACTTAAAGTTTATGCAAATTAACAGTTTTGTATCAGATTTACAACACTCTTCACAGTCGTGATTTTTGTTGTGTTTTCCTCATGAATTATTCCTGAGTTTGATAAAGTAAATTACTAATTTACTCAATATACTCGATAAAACTCTCCTGCTTGTTTATTAAACATTACATAGTTAAGACGTCATATAACGATGGATAAAGTTGACAAATGGGATTCCATACCATTCTGTTTAATTAATGGAGCAGAATGGTTTGAAACCTATTGTTCTATATTTTTGTTGCAAAACTCACTGGAAGACTCGCAGCTCAGTAAATGTTCCTCAATAATCACCTCGACTGAGGTGACTAATAGCAGATATCGGAGTTACACTCTATTGCCTTCAGACAATTGTTGCATTTGGGTCACTTTCTATACATTTCATTGTATTGACCCAAATGCCTAGACTTAAAACAATTGTTTGAAGGCAACAGAGTGTAACTCTTATATCTGCCATTATTAGATATTCTTAAACCTGTGCTTGGAAAGCACGCACGCATGCATGGTACACAAAATTATAAAATAACTGTTATAAATCTCGCATTCTTATTGGTTGGGAGCGCATGCTTCATGAGAGCACACTGTACAGCATGCACATGTCCTTGTATTTTATAAAAGAAAAAAAAACTTGCTCACTGTACTGTGTGGAGTTATAAAGCACTTGGGGATTGGCAAAACACTCATGAATTGTCAAGAAGCACTCTGTTACTCGTCATGCTTCTCCTAACACTTCTCTCGTGTTCTACCTAGCCCCGTTTATACTGGCGATTTTTGCGGCGATTTCTGTGGCAATTTTCAGAAATACGAAATCTCTTGTCTCATCCTTCAAAACAGACATTCGTCTAGGAAAATCTTGGCATCCTGAAAAAAACTTTACGAGTAAATTCTTTACCATTATTTATTATGGACAAAATCGCTAGTGTAAACCGGGCTTAACAGCACAGAGCATGTGTGCACATTTTCTATTTCTTCAATAATTCATATTGATTCTCACCTCTCTTCTCTAACAAGATCAACACCTATAGAAACAGGTGGTGCACACATGTTGCTCTTGATAACTGGAGCAAAGTTCTTCAGGACGAGCTTCAGTGCTGATGCCGCTGCTTGTACATAGCTACAAATGGAATATCAAACTTATAGTCATGAGGACTAAATGACTCTTCATTGCTAAGCACTGATCGAGTCACAAGGGTGGATCCAGCCAAAATTTTAGGGG